GATCCCTGGAGCCCCAAACCTCTCCCACAGCACCTTCAGGACCTGGGGCAGGGATGGGAACTGGGGGCACTGGAAGGTGAAAGACAATCCCAGTGTCCTGTGGGCAGGGACAGGTGGATAAATCTGCCCAGGTAATCCTGGGGATTGTGGCCTCCAGGAGTCAGGGAGAGGCAGTTCTGGGCTAGAGCAGAAAAGAGGAATCCTGGGGGTTTGTGGCCTCCAGGAGTCAGGGAGAGGCAGATCTGGGATGGACCCGAGTCCAGAAGGAGCAGCAGAGCTGCAGGGGCCCCTGCTCCTGGCTAATTCCAAATCCAGAGCTGATTTGTGTAGCCCAGGGTTCCTTGAGTGTTTTGGCTGAGGCTGGAGCAGCTCCAAGCCTCTTGATCTTCCAGGATTGAAATGACATTAAATTATTTCATTTTTCCCAAAAACCCCTCCAAGGGGTGAAGCAGCTCCCACCAGGGATCAGCCCAGGGTGACCTCCAGGAGCTTTGAGGGAAAACCTCAATGCATTCAGGGGCTTCACCTCAGCCTTTGCTGAGCAGGAGCAGCTCAGAAATCATGGAATGGGAACATCCTGAAAGCTGTGGAGGTCCAGCTCCCTTAAACCCTCATGTCCTCCCTTCCCACCCTTTGAGAGTTGTCCTCACACCAGGTGGAGCAATGGGAGAGGACATCCCTGAATCCACCTCCCTTCCGGCTCCATCCAGGGCTGAGGTGGCTCTCAGTGGTCCTGCAGAAGTGGCATCTACCCCAAAAATGTGGATCCACCCCAAAGTCATCATGGGACCCCCATGGAACCCCCTCCACCTTCACATCTGGAGATGCTCCTGTGTCATTCCCTCCCGCTCTGTGTCTCCAAGGGTTTGTTATTCTTCACTCCATTTATGGCTCTGTTTTTGGGAAGGTTTCTGCTTGCTGCTGGAGCCTGGCTGTTCCCAGCTGCTCCTCCTGCAGCCCCTTGACCTTGGAGTTGGATGAGGCTGTTTTCCCTGGCTGCCTTGGCCTTTGGGATTGTGGCATGATCCCGGTGATAAATTCCTGAGCTGGATTGCCTTTGAGGGAGCCTTTATCAGCTGCTGGAGGGAAGGAACTGCAAACACATCCAGCAGCTCTGGGAGTGGGGCTGCCTGCATGGAGATTCCCAGCTTCCCTGGCTCCTGGGAACTCATCATCTGCTCAGGGAGTTCCAACACAAGGGCAGGAAAGAGCACTGGGATAACTCTGCCCATCTCCTGAGCCAGCCATGGGCACAAACCTGGAGAGTGAATGAAATTCCATGAATGGTTTGGGAGCAGCACCTCATCAGGAGTGCTCTGAACACCCAGCCTGGGGCAGGATGGGGTCTGACATCTTTGTCTGGCAGGGAGCTGGGGCAGGAAGAGGGGAAATGTCTGGGATGGGTGATGTCAACCTTGGGCTTGGTCACCTTGGAGGTGTTTTCCAACCCAAATAATCCAGGAATGCCTCGAGGGCAACCCCTCACCCTGGAGTGCTCAGAGCCCATCCAGGGCCTCCCTGGGCCCAGCACATTCCCATGGGAGCTCAGATTCCATCTGGGACAGGCTTTGTTGTTTACAGCAGCCAAACGTTGGGCACTTGAAAGGAAGAGTTTGGGGCTTTCTTTGCTAATCCCGTTTTACAGAGAGTTCCAGGAGACGTGAGGAACAAACAGAAAATAACGTCGATGCAGGTCGGTATCAAACCCAAATGATCAGAGGATCAAATATTTACCCAGGTCAATATTTAACCAGGAGACAATAAATGCTGATATTGAACCAAATCTGGATATAAATACAGGCTATTTATAAAGTGAGCCTGCAAAGGGGCACTGCCAGGGCCGTGCCAGGGGGTTGATTGATGATTATCCTGCCCATTGTTTGCTGATTCCCTTGGAGGCTGCAGTTTCGTGCAGGTGCACGGAGAGAAGGAGCCGGGGCTGGGCTGTGGCACCACGGCCGTTGTGCCACACCTGTGCCCAGGTCCCTCATGCTGGGACAGCCCCCCCTTCCTGCTGGAGCCACCTCCTGCTGCTCCCCCATTCCTGGAACCCCCAGGTCAGGGAATCAGCCAGTCAGGGACTGGTTTGTGCTGGGGGACATTGGAGATCACCCAGCCTGACACCTTCCACTGCCCCAGGCTGCCCCAAATCCCAGTGTCCAGCCTGGCCTTGGGCACTGCCAGTGCTGGGCTGGTGCCAGGAGCCTCTGGGGCTGGATCCTGCAATGGTTTGTGTGGGAAGGGAAGGAAGGCTCATCCCGTCCCACCCCTGTCATGGCAGGGACACCTTCCCCTACTCCAGGCTGCTCCAAATCCCAGTGTCCAGCCTGGCCTTGGGCACTGCCAGGGATCCAGGGTGGGCACCTCTGCCAGGGCCTGCCCACCCTGCCAGGGAAGTTTTTTCCCCAATACCTAATGTAGACCTACTCCCTTTCAGTTTAAAGCCAAGTTTGGGTAGGAAGGGATTTGATGATTCCTTGGGCAGAGAGACACCTCCCACCATCCCAAGGTGCTCCAGCCAACCTTGGACATTTCCAGGGATCCAGGGTGGGCACCTGTGCCAGGGCCTGCCCACCCTGCCAGGGAACAATTCCCAATTCCCAATCTCCCATCCATCCCTGCCCTCTGGCACTGGGAGCCATTCCCTGTGTCCTGTCCCTCCATCCTTGTCCCCAGTCCCTCTGCAGCTCTCCTGGAGCCCTTCAGGCCCTGGCAGGGCTCTGAGCCCTCCCTGGAGCTGCTCCTGTCCAGGTGAGCACCCCCAGCTCTCCCAGCCTGGCTCCAGAGGGGCTCCAGCCCTGTAGCAGCTCCATGTCCTCCTCTGGATTTCCTCCAGCAGTTCCACATCCCTGTGATGCTGGGCCTCAGTGCTGGGTGCTGTTGCCTGCCCAGCATGGACACAGGTGACATTTACCTTGCCCCTGTCCCCAGAGCTCTCTGCAGCCCCCGTGCTGGGGGGCTGGCTGTGAGCAGGATCCATCTGAGAGGGAATCTCTCACCTGGCAGAAGGGCTGGGAGCTGTGCCCAGGCAGGAGTGGGCACAGGGCTGTGAAACACCCCCATGTCCCCCCCTGTGCCACCCTCAGAGCTCTGGTGTCTGTTTAGCAAACACCAGTTCCCCCCCTGGTCCCCTGGCACTGCCGGGAGGTGACAACACCTGATGTTCCTCCCGGGGCCGTTTGTCATTTATCACCTGCAGATTAGGAGGTGTTTGATCAGGGGACAGCCAGTCCCACCCCAGCCCCAGCCCAGCTCTCCGTGCTCGTGGTTAATCCGGGTTTATCTGGGGCCTGCCAAGAAATGTTTGCGTTGGACTCTGCTTGAATCGATCTCTGTGCTGATAACAGCTCCCCCAGGCTGGGACACCTGATCCAGGGATAAATCCCAGGCTCCTGCAGGGTTTATGGGAACTGCCAGGGCTGGAGGGGCTCATGTCCACCCCTGAGAGGTGGGATGGCATTGCTCTCTTCACTGAGCCACTGGTGTTACTGGGGCTGGGGGACTCACACCCTGCAGCTCTCCCAGGGGCTGCTCCTGAGGTTATTCCATCCTCCAGGGAATTTTGGTCTCCAGGTTTGGGTGTGCTGAGTGTAACACTGCTGGTCCAGGGGCACACACTGGTGCCCTGTGGCCTTTCTGGAGTGGACAAAATGCTGCTTTTTACCTTCTCCTCGTTGTTAATTTGGTTTTCTTCCTCTGCCAAGCTGAGGAGATGATTCTCCGTGGTCAAACTTGGGTGACTTTGGGGGAAAAATCCCCCTGGAATTCAGTGCTTTGGCTGTGAGAAGAGTTTCTTGTTGGCTTTGCCTTCCTGAACAGCTGCAAGTCAAAGAGGGTGGGTTTAGGTGGGGTTTTGGGAAGGAATTCCTGTCTGGGAGGGTGGGCAGGCCCTGGATCCCTGGCAGTGCCCAAGGCCAGGCTGGACAGGGCTGGGAGCAGCCTGGGATGGTGGAATGGGATGAGCCTTGAGGTCCCTTCCAGCTCAAACCATTGTGGGGCTCTGATGGATCCCAGTCCCCCTGGCCTCCCAGAAGGTTTGTTGGTGTTTCCCCTTTCCCTGAGCTGCTGATCCCTGACTCGTGGTGCTGCTGGAGCTGTGGCCATGCAGTCAGGGCTGGCTGGTGCCTCCTGCCCCATCCTGGTCCCCAGGGATGTCCTGGCCATGCCTGTGAGGGACACTGGGCCCGTGACTGAAAACCTGCTGGCTCTTCATCTGCAGGGCTCTGAGGCCTTTCCGCATGAGCCCACATCACTGTTGGGATGAGCTGAGCACCCTGTGTGTGGGATAAATTCAATCCTGCCCAAAAAGAGCCAGGAAATGGCTCCTTCCTGCAGGGGGGTTGGGCTGAGCATCCCAGGTCACTGCTGTCCATGGGAGGGGACAGGCACAGGAGGTGGGGGCTCCAGCTCTGAGATCTGGAACTCTCCTGGCAGTGAGCAGGAGAACCATGTGGGATGAGAAGGAGCCCACAGGAGCCTGGCAAATGCTGGTTTGGGATTTGGAGGAATCTCAGATCTCTCCCCCTCTTCTTGGTGCTGGAGGGCTGTGGCCTGTTTGGGACACTGACCTTGGAGAAAGGATCTGGGTCTGAGGGATTTGGGAGAGGCAGAGGCTGGAGAAGGGAGAGGTACAGGACATTTGTGAGCTCACTGTCATCTGTGTGGGGGTGATAAAGGGATCTAAGGTGCTGTGCCTCAGTGTCCTTGGGGAGCTCAGTACTTCCCATTTGTCTCTTCCCAAAGAGGCTTTCCTGTTCCTCTTGGACAGGCTTCAACCGTGGTGGGCAACCATCAACCCATGGTGGGCAACCACCAGCTGCTTCCATGGTGTGGGATGTGGGGTGGGAGGAGACACCATTGGCATGGAGGACACCTGGAGACCTGGGGGGCTCTGGGAGGATCTGGGTGCTGCCCTCCTTGGCCAGGGGAATTTGGGGGGACTTTGGGGTGGCCAAGGCAAGGAGGACACCCCACTAACCCAGCCCTGCCTCCCACAGCTGCACCCCATGAGGATGGACCAGCGGATGCCACCGCTCATCCTGGAGGTGAGCAGCACCTTCCCTCATCCCTTCCCCTCATCCTCCTGCTCCTGCTGGGAAGAGGGAGCTCAGGAGTCCCCAAGAGTCTGAGCTGGGACATTCCCCACTCCCTGTTCCCACTCCCTCCTTCCATCCCACTTCCAGCTGGGACACATCCCTCCCTCTCTGCCAGTCCCCTGTGTGTGTGTCACTGTCACCTCCACAGGCTGCGGGACACAGGAGTGACAGCCAGGAGCACCTCAGTGCTTGAGTGGCACTTGGTCGCCTCAGTTGTGCTGGTCTGAGCTGAGGACTTTGTAGGAGCACGGAATTGTTTTATTTGGAGAGCCCTCTCAGACCATCAGCTCCAACCATTCCCCAGCCCTGCCAAGGCCACCACTGACCCATGTCCCCA